TCAAACATGACAACTTTGGAGGAGAGACTAATCTTCCTGCTGCCTGGTGAGCTGCAAAGAGGTGGGAAAGATATACTTGGATTCATAAGTTTAGAGTACTGGGGACCTCCAATGGGGAGCAAAAGCAACCAGCTACTTTGAGATGAGGCGATAAACTCTGAGGTGTTTGCCGTCTGCAAACTTAAAAGGTATGGGGAGAAGTGCTGAAGTGAAATGAGTCCAAAATAACAAAGCTGCAGTTCTCCTGGGTGGTTAACAATTTGCTCTAGTTAAATCTAATCCACGGAAAGATGAGAGAAACACAGGGATTGTCAGATTGGGCCAGTGTTAATGAGGGAAATAAAATGATGATACATACTTTAAATCCCACTGAAGGGATCAGCAAACTCCTTTCATCACTTTGAGATAATGCAAGAAGTTCTTTACAATTAACTTAATTTATAATTAACCTGGAATAGAGGTGCTTCCCTTTTAATGTAGGAAAAGCTGAAATGAGGAAACCTTCTGGGATAGAAATGCTGTAGTGACATGTGGCCTTGCAATCCCAGCTGGCATCTGGGGTGGACTGGACCTTCAGCCCTTCTTCCTGGCACAAACTTCCCTCAGCAGCAGTGGTTTGGGAGGCTCAGTGCCTGCAGGCTTTGGGAGGGCCTCTCAAACCTCCTGTCAAATTGGATTGTGGCTCCAGAGCCATCCTTTTTATTTGAGGAGCAGTCTAAGGATTTTTCTTGGGAGTCTGACACCATTCCCCTGTGGTCTCCACACCAGCCCTGAAGTGTCCCCCACGGACAGCATAGGGCTGGAACATACCATGGTGGTGAGGCCATTGTTTTAGCCAGCCTCGCAAGGGACCTTTGGTGCAAAAGGGTTCCGAGAAACTGCGTGCAACAAAACTCTTCAGGGGGTTATAACTACCCAAGCAAAAAGGCAGAGACTTCTCAGATGAGACAAACTAACATGATACAGGAGAAACATGAAGAATCAGACACATCAACAGCAGCAGATGATTGCTTAAGTTCAAGTCCCCAGATATTCTAAGAGGTAGAAAACAGCCGTGTGTGTGTATATATACGTATAAAGTGTATATCGATTATATTTAGGCCGCAAGAGCAACCAGGGGCTTTTGCTGAGACCAGGATCCCATCCAGAGAGTATTGATACAAATATTCCCTAAAGACAGTGCAAGAGAAAGATGCTGTCTTTGCTGGATGAACTCACAATGACTTCACAGAGTCAAGAACAAATCTTCCCTAAAGAAAGTGCAAAACCCCCCTAACTCAGCAAAGCGTAAGCTTTAGCTCACACTAGAAAAGGCTGAGGGGTGTTTCCTGTCCTTATTTTACCAGTAAAATCCTTATGCTAGTGAAAATGAACTGGAGCGACTTGTCTCCCTCCCTGGCTGGCCCAAGCGATGCAGGTGTACGTTCCCACCGGTGGGATGGTTGAAGCTGTGGTGCCCACACAGCGAAGCGCACGCACAGTACTGCTGTGCTGGAGCTGAGGCCAGATGCCATCTCCAAAGAAGCGGAAAGCTACTATTGACTCTTTCAGCAAGATGTGGGGCCTCTTCCTCAGCTATGGCAATGAACAACTTGGGATACGTCGCATCAACAACTGCCAGCATGTGTGCGTTCAGTGCGAGACAAATCGGGCACAGATACTGAAGAGCCAGCAGCGCTGGCCTCTGCACCCCGTGTCACGCAGGCTGGAGAACATACTATAGTCCTTGAGTTAGCCAGCACCAGAGGTGTGTTCTTCCCCTTCCAAAAATAGGGGTAAGCCATTTCTAATGATGGGAGTGATTAGTGATTATCCGGGGATATGACTTGCCAAGGGCTAGGGTGTATTTTCTCTCATGGAAGATTAAAAAGAGTAACTATAGGCATGCTACATCCTTTTGGTGTTTACATTCTTGTAAAGCGAAGCTGGGGCATTTCTAGGGAGTTACTAGAAAATCAGACTGACCAGTTGCCTTTGCAAATCAAGAGATGAATTAAGAGTTTGGGCTGGGGACCACGGGCTCGGCAGGGCCCCGTGTCCTCAAGCAAGCCTGCAAGGCCAAGTGCTGTGAGGGCACCCTTAATTTTCCCCACGGGGGAAAATTGCTCTGGGCATAACCCTCTGGATGAGCAGGAGATGATTCCTCTCTCCCTCCTTCTGCCAGAGCTGCATGGTGGATGCAACGCTCTTTCCCAAAAGCATGTGAGAGCGCAGTACCTCCTGGAAACGGGAACACGTATGCTGTATGCACCCCAGCTACTCTCTCTCAGGGCCTGTATGTATCGCGATCCCTTGCTACAAGCCAGATAAAGCCAACTTGGGCTCTTGTCTGCATTCTGGTTCCTGCCCAAGGTTTCGTCTTAGAACATCACCTGCTGGTCCCGGGGTGCAAGGGTGGCTTTACATAGGGCAGATTCTCTCTCTCACCCCCGCCTCAGGGCTTTGAAGCACACCCTAATCCTCTGCCGGCCTGCTGTGAGCTGCACGTTTTTCCTTAGGCATGAAACTCCCATCCCAGGAAGCTGAGTGCATGGGGCTGAGTCCCTTCTCTGCAGGCAGCGCAAGGTGTCCTGTCCCTCATGCTGTGCAGAGGGGCTGGGGTCACCCTTGATGGGGTCAGGCTGGGCAGCATGGCCTTTCTTTCCAGCCTGTCTCCCTCTACAAGCCCTCTGAAAGGGAAGGAGACCCGCTAGGGAAATTTCTCCTGCTTCTTCCCGCTGGAGGCTGCAAAAGGGAAAATGTTCTCTCTTCTGCCTCCCCACCATTGGCTTTAATCGCTAGGAAAAATGGAGGGCGGTTGGGTGTCTCGGCATTGTAGTCTGAGAATAAGCGCTTTACTGATTTCACAGGGCATAAGACCAGGAGTGTTTTAAATCAGGGGCAAGGCCAAAGGGTTTGTTGCTAAATCAACCAGGCTGCCAGTGCAGAGCAGTCAAGGAAAACAAACAGTGCAGTCTCCACGTATTATTAGAAAGGTATTTCCCTGTCTGAAAGGAAGGGCCAGAGGAGGAGACTTGAGGCCAGAAAAGCAGATCGCGAGAAATATGCATTTGAGAAGGGGAGTCATACAGCCAGTGCTATGGCACTGCATGGCCCCAGCACCACAACTCCCCTCGCTGGCAGCTCTGGCTCCAGAAATGCTGCAGCACTGAAAGGGAGAGAGAAGTCTCCAGGGATTTCACAGAGCTGAATGGAAACCAAATACAAAAACCCAACTGACCAAATGGAATTTGCTCAACCCCTCACACGTGGCAGCGAGCAGGGGAACAACTGCATGGTAACTCAGGCGCACAGAAAGCAGGCACCTAATGCCTATCTATCAATCGCACGTGATCCCAGCTAACATCATGCTAGAGACTGGGGCAAACTTAAGGTGGAATTACTTGGGCTTTCTCCAACGGGGAGAAGAGTCCGTGAAGGGGGCTGCTCTCGCTGGTGTTTGCTACCTGCACCAACTCTACTCCGGCAGTTAACTCCCAACTTCAGTGTGGCTCTTGCGTATGCGTAGCATGGCCGGGGAATTAGTTGGAAGCCGGAGCATGTGTGGGATTTTCCCCGTAGTACTTCCAGTCAGCATTTTGCCCTCTTTCATACACCCCAGTCACAGGGCTCCAATTCAGGCTTGTGACTTTCTAGCTCAAATGCAGCTCGGCTTTGATTTACCCAGAGTCATATGAGATGGCCGAAACGCCACGTGAATGTTCAGAAATGGGTGTAGGGGAGATCTGGGGCAAAGGATGGTGTCAGGAGTCAGGATGCTGTTTGTATAACAGCGAGCACGCTCTAATGACACCCCAGCAGCCTCCTGCGGAGCAGCATGTTTCCTCCTGCTACCTAGCCATAAATTCCTGCGCTGTTTCGTAAGCTGTCCTGTGCAGCCGTTCCTGAAGTTATCTGCAGATAAGTATCTTGCAGGCTAGTCGTGGCTTAACAAACAAGAAGCATGCTGCATTTATAGAGCAGTTTACAAGTGGGCTTGTGAAGCTGCATGTCATTAATGTCACTTCATGTATGAGGGAAACTGAGGCACGGAGGCCTGAGGACCCTGCTAAGGCCAATACAAAGCTACAAGCGGCACCCAGCTGATCCAGTCACACAGACCCACAAAGCACCTGCTCCCACCTTCACCTCCCTGCAAAGCCCCTCAGGACACTGATGCTGTGCGCTTTTAAGGGACGTAGCCAAGGGGAAAAGCGGGCATTAGGGACTAGCTGGGAAAGCAGCCTCCTTTCTCGCTGGCTGCCCTCAGCCCGGCCCAGCCTCCTCCTCCGCTAACAAAGCATTTCTCTTTTCCCTCTGGAGTCTTTTGTAACTGGGATGGAACCAGCGACATCACTCTACTTTTCAAAAGCTGCAGCCTGAATTCTCACATCTAATAGTGCCCCACACAACCAACCTTAACTTTCAGGCACTTTTTAGATGCTGGCATAGGATATAACAAACCCTTGGGTTTCATTTAATTGCAAGCAGTGATGATTTGTACCCAGGGGCTCCCGTCAGTCCAGGCTCCTTGCAGGCATGATGTTGGGTTGGGAGGATGCATACACACATGTTCTCAAAGGCAGTCACTTTGCAGCAGTAACATGAAGACTCCAACCCTGATTTTAGAGAGGGATCACTTAACAAAAAGCAGCCATCTCGCTGCAGGCACAGAGCCACGCTCAGGCTCCCGGGATAAAAGCCAACATACGCTGCATAGCAGCTAGAAGAGCTTAGGGTAAGGATTTCTAGGATCACGCAGAAGCAAACAATCACTAGTTTTTAAAATCATACACGTCCTGCCTGCAAAGAACAATATCAATAGAGATCTCCCACCACCCACTTTAAATGCCTGGGAAAGCTCCAGCCCCAAACAGCTGCAATTAATCCCCTTCTTCACACACACACCCCCCTCCATCATGTGATGGTCCTGCCCAAGTGATTTAAGCTGCGGGAGCTGAGGGCTGCGTCATGCTGGTCTGTGGAGCAGGGGCCTGGGGGTATCCTGCTGTGGTGGGGCTTGTGTCTGCAGCATGGAGCAAGTGAGTGCCTTCTTCAAGCTGGACTGGTGTGCTAAGCAGGGCTGGGGTTGGACTGCGTGTACGTTTTGGGCTTGCTGCCAGAGGTAGGAGGAGAAAAGGATTAGCTCAGAGGAAATGCTGGGCTCATACATGGCTGTGGGAGGAACAGTTCGGGCGGATCAGCTGCTTGTCTTCTCTTCTCTAGCATGTTGTCTAAGTGGGGAGACTGTTCTCGTGTGTGTTTATATCTTTGAGTACTCTAATGATTTGGGACCGTTTGCAACTCTATGGTTTGAATGTCTTTATACTTTTATTTTTTTTTCTGGAAAAATGCTTTTTGGGTACAGGACTGGGCTAACTCTTAAAGCAACAGCAGGACCACAGTGTATTCTGACCTACCCCTGCTTCCTGACTTTCCTTTTCCCCAAAGACCCCCTGGGCACCAAGGCTGTGTTTCAGATCGTGTTTCTCCAGCACGGTACTAGAAATTGAGCCAGAAAGCAGTGTTGGTGCTGGGATGAAGAGCACTGTAGTGAGTGGGGAAACCTGACCTTAGTAATCCTGGGCAGAGCAGGGACTAGGCATGAACACAAGCACTGCTGGGGCTGCGTGTAGTCCTGCAGGAGTACTGGGCTCTAGAACTGCCAGCAGCTGCTGGGCACGGGCTTGCACAAGCCAGGCAAGGAGAACTAGCCCAAGTAAACAATATACTGAACTTGAAATTAGTCTCCCTGCCTTATCTGGCCTGTGGTTAAGTGGAGCACAGCATCATTGCACTTGGGCTTGGAGCACATGCAGCAAAGACTGATTTAAGCCTGACCTCGCCAAACAGCATCATCTTCTTAGCTGAGGGAGGCCGGGGTGTTAAGTGCTATTTTGGGGGTATGCGGTTGGGGGAGTGTATAACCTGGCTCCAGGCAAAGGATCAAGCCCTTTTCTCTGCAGTGGCAGCTTCCCTAGGGGGCTGTTCTGCTTTAGTAGGCTGCAGCTAGAAATGGGCTCCACTGAGCCCTCCCTTGGTGTAGGTTGCTTTTAGGTCAAGACAAGAAGCTTTCTTGGTGACTCCTGTTGCTGGGAGACCCACCTAGGGAAGGGGGACAGACCTAGTGCTAGAAAGGATTTGTAACTAATGTTCATCCTATGCAAATGGATGCGGCCATTGCTGATGTGAAGGTGGGAGCTAGACTGTAAGGCTGTCTTCTGTAGCAGCTGCTAAATCAGTGCCTGGAGCCTGTGTTACACTGGCTTGAATCGCTTCCTTGTCAGCTTATGCCACGTAGTGGGGTGGTGGCTGTGAACTAGGATTCCCTGGCAGAGGGCTGACACAGGCAGCTGGCCTGACTCAACCCTTCCTTTAGTGCAAAACTGCAAATGTGTTTGGGTCTGCTGGAGCTGGCTTGTGCCTTGGCCCAAGCACTGCTGGCCGGCTTGCCTTGGGACAGACTAACTCTTGTGGTTTGGCCCTGCAGGGACTGGTGGTTACTCAGCTGGACATCCAGCCTGGTGAGTGCATCAAGGTCAAAGGGAAGATCCTGTCTGATGCCAAAGGGTGAGTGAGGAGATGGTGAATGGATTGATGAGGCACTGGGGGAAGCCTGAGCTCCTGCTGTGTTCAGTTCATCAGCACTGGGTAGCTGAAGCTGCTGCGCATGCACCTACTTCACACTGCCTCTGTTTCCCCAGGTTTGCTGTGAATGTAGGGAAGGACAGCAGCACCCTCATGCTGCATTTCAATCCTCGCTTCGACTGCTATGGGGATGTCAACACCATCGTGTGCAATTCGAAGGAAGATGGCATGTGGGGTGAGGAGGATAGGAAGGCTGACTTTCCCTTCCAGCATGGCGAGAAGATCGAGGTGAGGCTCCAAGGGTGTGTGCAAGCCCCTGGCACAGATCACCAACGAGCCAAGGGCAGAGCTCTTTTAATGCTGCCTTGTACCTCTGTGGTGGAGA